CAGCAGGTGTGGACTTGGTGCTCCGGGGCTCCAATCACTTGGGGGGTTGAATTAACACCCCACGCAAATAACGTGTACACCACAGTTTGGTGTGCACATAGCTGCATACTAGGCTAGCATGATCAATATAATGTATTGTGACAGAATGCCTCACCCAGCGTTGAATGCCTCACCCAGTGCGAAATGCCTCACCCACTGCGGAATGCCTCACCCACTGCGGAATGCCTCACCCACTGCGGAGTGCCTCACCTGGTGCTGAATGCCTCACCCGGTGCGGAATGCCTCACCCGGTGCTGAATGCCTCACCCAGTGCGGAATGCTTCACCCACTGCGGAATGCCTCACCCGGTGCGGAATGCCTCACCCACTGCGGAATGCCTCACCCACTGCGGAATGCCTCACCCACTGCGGAATGCCTCACCCACTGCGGAATGCCTCACCCGGTGCGGAATGCCTCACTCACTGCGGAATGCCTCACCCACTGCGGAATTAGACATGGGCAAAAAAAATCGCATCGCATCGCATTTAATCGCATTTTTGCACTGAAACCCACTCTGAAACCCACTACGAAACCACACTGGTTATTTGCACTCTAGCTTACGACTGCCCGTGAGTGAATTTCCCCGCAGCCATGGTTTTTTTCTGTTTTTTTGGGGTGTTTTTTTATTCTGTTTTAAAAAGCGATGCGATTTAAAATCGCATTGCACGATTTAATTAAATATCGCACGTGATTTTTTTATACATCGCGGGTAAAATGCGATGTGCGATTTTATTTTATTTTTAAAATAAATCGCGCGATGCGATTTAAAATCGCATCGCTTTTTTAAACATCGCACCTGCATGCGATGCGATTTAAATCGCAATCACGTTTTGATCATGTCTATGCGGAATGCCTCATCCAGTGCGGAATGCCTCACCCAGTGCGGAATGCCTCACCTCACCCAGTGAGGAATGCCTCACCCAGTGTGGAACGCCTCACTCAGTGTTGAATGCCTCATCCAGTGTTGAATGTGCGGCTGGATCCACCGCTGCAGCTGGCGAGTGGGGTCATCCAGAACCCTCAACTTCAATGTCGCAGAGGGCGTTCCAAAGCTGTCCATACCCTTCCTTCCCCCTCCAGCCACTGATATACTCTCACCCCATGCCGAATGCCTCCCCACCCAGCGTTGGATGCCTCACCCAGCGTTGAATGGGCGGCTGGATCCACCGCTGCAGCTGGCGAGTGGGGTCGTCCAGAACCCTCAACCTCAGAGCAGCACAGCCAGCAGCAGCAGCAGCAGTGTCCGGATCATCCTCCTCCTCCTTGTCTTGAGCCCTGTCACATGCGCACTCGAGGCAGTGCATCAGCCGCATATGTGCCTCCTGTGCTGTTAGTGGCGCCTCCTGTTCCGCCCATTCCTCCTCCTCCTGCGACTCCTCCTTCCCCTGCTGACCCGCCTCCTCTGTCACTCGGCCCAGTCGCACCTGCTCCTCCAGCTTCACACCGACACAGGAATGGGAATGGAGGGTTGAGATGCATGCATGGGAGCAGGGGAGTGGGGCACGGGTTCATTTGCTCACTCGAGGGTGAAATGCCACGAGTGGGTAGTCCGCTCCATTTCTGTTTTTTCCAGGACGAAGACAACGGGCACAAGAGGGTATTTGAGTCGATTCAAAACTTGACACAAGCCAGCGGTCGAAAGCGAGGTGCGTTGGCGCGGAGAGAAGTCGTGAGGAGCAAATGGGTGTGAGGAGAGGATATGGAACGATTGGGACCGGGAGAAGCAACTGCATGGAGCATGGAACAGCTGATTAGATGCGGGGGTTATTTACCCTAAACAGGCCAAACTGGGCTTATCCCCATATCCGGCTCACCAGCTCCAGCCAATCCGGTGTGTCGTCCACACAATCCCTCCACAACCAATATGAAGCCTCGAATCCCGTTGTCTCGAATCCTGTTGTCTCGCATACCCATGACCCATATTCCCTTGTTGCTGCACTGTCATCCACGCTGTCGCATGGCATTGCCTCTTCCACCCGATCTATGCCGGATGCTGACGCTGATGCTGATGGCGGTGACACAGACGATGGTGATGGTGATAATGGTGATGCTAGGGATGCCGAAGAGGGTGATGAGGGCAATGATGATGGCAATAAATGTTCAGCAGGGGCCTGCTGCAGCCATTTGTAGAGTGCGCAGTACACCTGCACTGAGATGAGCCTAGTGGCTGCTGGCGAGTCAAGGCACGTCGACACACCCTTGCCCTTCTCGCAAACTGCCTGCACACCATCCCCACCACTCTTCCCCGCTCCCCTCCCCTTCCCCTCCTTCCTCTCGCCCCCCTTCTTTCCTACCCTCCTCTCCCTCGACTGCATCCGCCTCAAGAATTGCACGCCTTGTTCTGCTGCCTCTATATCTCCCAATACCGGGGCAAGAAACTCCGGCCAGCGAGAGTGGAGACGGGTGGGAGGGGTAGTGGTAGGTGTGCCGGCCCAACCCACGGTGGTACTCATGGCAGTAGTGGCGGGGGTGCTAAGCGGTGGCATGGGGCTGGCGAGAATCGGTGATGGTTCGTGCTTGTCTCCTTGTGGAAGAAACTGTGGAAGGAGCAAGAAGAAACAAACACCCCCGTGCACGCACATGTCACACACAGTGGAAGGGCAGGGAGGCAGATTTCAATACATGGGTAGTGATGACCGAAAACAAAGGAGCACAGGAGAGTAGGGAGCGTTGAAGATGGCACTGCATGTATATGCTGAGCAAAGGAGCACCGACTGATTGACTGACTGACTGACTGACTGACTGACTGACTGACTGACTGACTGACTGACTGACTGACTGACTGACTGACTGACTGACTGACTGATTGACTGACTGACTGACTGGGTGGAATTCCATTGCAAGATACAGCATTCGTGGCAGGGTATGGCAGCAGAGAAAAGGCTCCTCCAACATTCTGATGCGATTTGTACCCTGCAACAGTTGTGTTTGTGGTATGTTCTGACGTGGGGAAGGAATGCCCCCCCCTTCAGCACCTATAAGTCAGGAGCCAACTGTGGCTGCGGCAGCTGCCCCGCTCATCACCCACCCAATCGTCCACAAAACCAGCGAGTAACTACAGACGATACAGCAGCCCCACCGTGCACTAACTCACCTCCTGTGATAGCTGCGCTTGGCGCCGCCCCTTGAGCGCCCAGTCGTCTATGAAACAGAGCAGTGTGTGCACCGAGGAGAGGAGCAGGCACAGCACCGTGAAGTGGGCATGCTGGCGTGTGGGGGAGGATAAAAGGGAGGACGGGGAGGGAAGAGCAGTGTGCAGTCAGTGATGAGAGCAGTTGTCCCTCGCTACCCCCTGAGCGCCTAGGCGTCAATGAAGCGATGGGAGGAGCGTTTGCAGCGATGGGAGGAGCGTTTGCAGCGATGGGAGGAGCGTTTGCAGCGATGGGAGGAGCGTTTGCAGCGATGGGAGGAGCGTTTGCAGCGATGGGAGGAGCGTTTGCAGCGATGGGAGGAGCGTTTGCAGCGACGGGAGGAGCGTTTGCAGCGACGGGAGGAGCGTTTGCAGCGACGGGAGGAGCGTTTGCAGCGACGGGAGGAGCGTTTGCAGCGACGGGAGGAGCGTTTGCAGCGATGGAAGGAGTGTTTGCAGCGATGGGAGGAGCAGGCAATGTTTTTTTGAATTCTAAAACGATGGGAGGAGCATGAGGTGGGCATGCTGGTGTCTAAGTTGGAAAAAAAGCTAGGCGTAGGGATGCCTAAAGCGTTTATACTCTACAAAATACGATACTCTGCGTATTGGGTTGGGATTCGCAAAAATACGCCCAGGCAGCCCGGGGAAAGAAATCCGAAAATGCTTTGCAAAATCTCGTGAATGGACGAGGCGTTACAGTCTCGCTCAGATTTGCGAGCAGCCCCTTCAAAATTGAGGTTCGAAATTCGAAATTCCACTCACCCCCAACCACTTTTTGCCCCCCAACCGTACTCAACATCACTACACCTCTTAGCCCCAAATCATCCTGTTTGCACGACAGACTCAACTCATCTGCGCCAAATGTGAGTGGTATATCTTCCCTCGCCATTCTGTTTGACAATCATTCTCATGTCTGACTCTAAACGCTCTTTCCTTGCCACCGCCATTAGCCAGTAGCTATGTCTACGTCAGCTTCCCCAGCCAACACTTCGTACATGTTTTTGCCCCCTGCCCGAAACGTTTTCACCCTGCCCGGCCCAACGTATTTGAGCGTACAACCACCCCCTTGACGGAGCGTACAGCATATGTACCCTAGCGTTAAAACGCTAGAGTACAATACTCGATGCGCGTATTTTCCAACTTAGGCTGGTGTGTGTGGGGAGGAGAAAGGAAGGAGGAGGGAGAGAGAAGAGTAGTACGGGGGATGATATCGACAAGGCTAGACGGGTGGAGAGCCGTCTCATAGCAGTGCGTGATAGGCACTGGTGAAGCGTGCGATGCGGAGAGGAGGCCACATTATGCCCTCTGACACTGTTGTCCACCTCCCAGTACAGCGTGTACACTATCTGGCACTGTTCATCACCTGTCACTGTTCATCGTCTGCCACAATCCAGCACTCACAGTGTTGGCTTCACACACGTAGAGCTCTGCAGGCACGCCAACAGCACACCCACAGGCTGTGACATCCCTGCATACCAGCTGCTACTGTTTAGCGCTTCACACTGCGCGTCACTTGCTGTCACTGTTCACCATCTGACACTGCTCACCATCTGACACTGTTCACCATCTGACACTGTTCACCATCTGACACTGCTCAGCGCTCACCGTGTTGGCCTCAAACGCAGTGCTCTGCAGGCACGCCAGCAGCACATCCACAGTCTGTGCGTTCACCACCGCTCTTGACACCCCTGCTGTCTCGGCGGCACCTGCTGCCCATTGGCCTGTCACTACGGTTGGCACTGCTCTTACTGCCGATCTATCGCCCGGAGGAAGAAGAGAGGTGGTGGTAGGAAGCAAGCTAGCTGCAATGGTGTGAAGGGCGGTGAGAGAGCTGATTGCACTGGGGGTGGGAGGGTGGAGGGGGGGGGGAAGGAGAGTGAGCAGAACTTGAGGCCCCTTGAAACCAAGCGATGGTGTGAAGGGCGGTGAGAGAGCTGGGGTGGGAGGGGGAATGGTGGGGGGGAGGAGCGTGGGCCAACCGAACATAAGGACCCCGAAACCAAGTGATGGTATGAAGGGCGCTGATTGAACTGATGGCACTGGGAGTGAGAGCGAGGAAGGAGTGATGGAGAGGAGACGGAAGGGGAGGTTGCTGCGGCTTTATCATTTGGAGCAAGAAGAGAGGTTGTGGCAAAGCAAGCTGGCTTCGACGGTGTGAAGCGCGTTGAGAGAGCTGATCGCTCTGGGGGTGGAGGAAAGAGGCATCGACTGTGTGAGTGGGGTGAGGAAGAAGGGAGAAAGGGTGGGGGGAGGTTGGGAGGGATGGGGGGACAACGAAGGTGGTGGATGAACTTGAACTAGTATGATCGCACAGGGACTCACAGACCAGCCAAGCAACGGGCGTTGCGACTCAGATGAATAAATGGTGAGAGGCACAGATGTGTCGTGAAGGGGATCGATTGGATGGTCTGCTGACTGCCGTCCTGTACAGCACGGGGGTGATTGTCGTGAACGCATTTCACTGATGTGAGAGTAAGTGTACTGACTGCACTATGTTTGATGTGAAGGCGTCACTCACTCTCGTCCGCGTTTGAAGGTGGGTCGCTTGTAGAGGTCCATAGGCTCCAGACCACTGCTGGAGTACACTCCGAGGTCCTCTTTCAAAGACTAACCAGAACAGAATATCACACCATGCCATCCCATGCCATCCCATGCCATCCAATCCTATGCCGTGCCACGAAATGCCATGCAATAATGATGTCATGTCATACGGAGCAAATAAAACGCCGGGCGTTCCATATAAGGACATTCGAAGGGAAACCAGCGGAGGAAAGTCGATCGACAAGCGAAAACCAGAAAAGGGAGGACTACCTCTGTTACTGCCTGTGATAATAATCGTGTTTTGAGATGTCTCGAAACACGATTATTATCATAAGGAGGACTGCTGCTTCATGTAGCTGAATTTCTGCTACTACTACCAGAATAGCGTAACCAGGAAGGAGAATACAAGCGAGCGGAACCAAAATTTCGTTTACGTGGAGTTTCCTGTCCATGTCGAAAGCAAGGTCTCGAATTGCCACGGGCGGATTCGGCTGCGACTTCACGCGCGAAACGAACGACTCAACCTCGCTCAGCTTCGCTGTGACCGAAGCTGTGAGCTCTGGCGAAACAAGGCGGAGTGCACCGCCGCCGCTATCGGCGACGGTGTCGCGGTGACGAGCCATGGACGCGTTTGGCAGGCGAAGTAACAGCTGGAAAGAAAATCTCCTAGGTGGAGACACGCTTCTAAGCAGGGAGCGCGGCTTTGATCATCAGAAATCATCGGAAGTATCCCTCGTATTATTTTCACCTGAAATGGATCAAATCGATCCAGCTACAATACCCTAAGCCTTATGCATACGTTAGGAGACTCCTAATGCAATCAAGAACCTTAGTCAATGGGTAGAGGGCAATGGGTTGAGAGAAATCTGTGCCACATGCAATTCAGAGTTTTTTAAAGCGTCTTGTATCGATCGATAGTCCAAACTTTTCTCGACCAATTCGATCCTATAACACAGCAGGTCCTATCGCACGAGGGACGATCAATGTACAACCGGAACTTCGAATTTACATGAAGAAATATTTCACGCGACGTGCATAGAAATGGCAGCCGCCTGTCATGTCCAGCGAGACTTGATCTCCACTCTAGTTTTGAGGTTATAATCACATCGCATTTATTGTCATGCCTTTGTATGGTCGATCTGCCGTCTCCGCTCCAGCTTTTCTCTCTTGAACTTCTACATTCGTAAAGTACACTTCCATTGCTCCCTTCCCCCTTCCCCTTCATCGCTAACACATGCGACATGGCCAACATGTACTTTTGAGTTGACTCAAAGCAGTCCCCCAAACTACTGTTTGCATGGTGATTTATTCACAGTCAAAAGTCACCTCCCGCCCACTTTGAGGCAGCACCACATGGTGCCATCACTGCGTGGTGTAAAATTTCCAACTTTCTCAGACGCCCTGATATCCACAGCGCCAGCCCTCAACGTGTCCCTTGTGTGCCCTCCATGTGCCCCTCCCACATGCCCCCCTTGTGCCCACTATGTGCTCCCCATCTTCCCCCCATGTGCCCCATTTGCCCCCCATATGCCCCCCCCCCTCCCCCAACTGTTAGAATAGCAGAATAATTGAAATGAGAAGTACAAAGTGGTTTTGACCTAGTGAGTTGTACTCTCTATGGCATGCCCCTATCCAGGCTTTAGAAACATATACAAATATGTTTGACACACCCCCTAGCCTGGACACGGGGCAATGCCGGACAAGAGACACGAAACCCAGGGCGGCACAAATAGTTCAACCACTGAGACAAGGGTCCGAAGACCAGTCAGCAAGAGTATAAACTCAACAAGAGCAAACCAGGATGGCACTACTAGTCCAGCCACTGTAAGAAAAGCCACAAGGTCAGTCAAGAAGGAATATTTAAAGAGTAGTACACAATCAAGGTCCTAGCAGGTGGGTAGCTACAGGAACTAGACCAAGCTGCAAACCGTGTCGCTAATGATCTTTAGGCGCAAGTGCCTTAGTAAAGATATCAGCTGTGTTGGCAACGGAGGCCAAGTGTACAATGCGTGACTGGCAACGCTGCTGTAGCTCGCGCAGGAGGAAGTACTGCAGCTGGAGATGCTTCGCTCTGCCCTCTAGTCGAGGCTCCTGACACAGGAGGATCATGGCCTTGTTGTCAGCAAACAGAACCGGGGCAAAGCTAGGCCTCTCACCTAAGTCGCTGAGCAAAAAGGTCAGCCAGCGGAGCTCCTGTGCCGCCATGGCACTGGCGTAGATCTCCGCCTCACAACTAGACTGGGCAACAGACGAGGAGCGAGTGGACCTCCATGAGATCGCACCCGAACCAAGGCTAAAGCACTAGCCCTAGGACGATCTGAGGGTCTCAGCATCGTCTGCCCAAGAAGCGTTTGTGTGCCCAGTAAGGACCACTAGCCTGCAGCCTCCTAGCACTAGCCCCATGCCCGATGTACTTGCTAGATAACGCAAAACCCGTTTAGCTGCCGACTAGTGTTGTGGTCGATGCTTGCTTGGCGCCACAAAGCGAGCCAGGATGCTGAGAGGGTATGCGAGATCTGGACGAATACAACCCACCAGCTCGGCGTAAAGACCACTAGGCTCTACTGACTCCTCAGGAACTAGAGGTGAGAGCCAGTAATCTACTAACAGAGGTGTGAGCTGTGCGAAGGAGAATTGAAGACCGAACCTCTCAAGGACTTGGCGCACCAAGTGTGATTGAGTGAGAGTGGTGGTGCGCGCTGCTCTCTCCCTGGAGATCTGCAGGCCAAGGTAGCGGCGCAACTCTCCTAGGTCAGTGCAGGTGTGTCTCTTCTGCAGCTCGGCCTTAACAGAGGCCAGTGCGTCTCTATCAGCAGTAGCGAAGACCGAGTCATCTACGTAGACAAGGATGTAGAACAGAGTCTGGCCAGTACGAACGAAGAGCGAGGGGGCTGCAGAAGACGGAAATAACTGCAAGTCAGCTAACGTAGCACGCAGCGTGTCATGCCATTCACGAGGCGCCTGTCGCAGGCCGTAGACCGGGCACCGGAGGAGCCACTGTGTCCAAGGAGGAAAGGTAACAGTGAAGCCCTGCTGACGGCGCAGGTAGACTTGCTCGTGTAGGCTGCCCTGAAGAAAGGCAGTGGAGAAGTCGAGGGAGTGGAGCTCGTAGTCACGCTGAGCTGCGACGTTTAGCAGCGCCCGAAGAGTAGTCATCTTAGCGAAGGTCTGAAAGAAGTCCACCCCCTCACGCTGATTGAAACCACTAGCCACATAGCGCACCCTAAACACAGGCGGCTCTCCAGAAGGGCGCTTCACCTTGAAGAGCCACCGACCATCGACTACGTTCACCCAAGGTGGGGGAACTGCGTCGACGTACGTGCCGGTGGATCCATCTCCTGCTCCATGGCAGTTGTATCCACTGAGAGGCCTAGGGTCCCGAGGAGGCCTCAGCGTAGGTGCGAGGGGTCGGAATGTCAAGGGCATTTGGGTCACCTTCAGGGACTAGCAGCATGGAACGGAGATGGGGAGCAGCCTTAGACAGGAAAGCAAGCTCGTTCTGCCTGTCCTCTAGGACGTGGCTGCCCAGGGCAGTAGCACCCCCGACGAACAGAGGACAGACAGGGTCAAAGACCAGAGCGGTGGCGGGTAGAGGCAAAGTCAGTGACAGCAGTGACAAGAGCGTCAAGACTCGAGACAGGAACAGACGGGTCGGTAACGAGAGCGGCAAGGACCCGAAGAACAAGAGGACGAGCGGCACGGAGGTAGTCAGACAGAGGAGGCGGAGCAACAACAAGTGAGGATGGAGGAGGCGACGGGAGGAGGGGAGGACGAGACGCATGAGAACGGAGCAATATAGGGTGGGAGCGCTGAACAGCGGAGACAAGACGAGCACGGGAGGGGCGACGAGACGAGACGTGAGAAGAAGGCGTCGGGTCAGGAGACAGGGGAGGAGGCACAGGAGGAGAACGGAAGGGAAGACGAGCCGGAGACGAGTCCGGCGGAGGAAAGACAGGGCCGTAGACAGGCAGGGGAGGAGGGGGCAGGGGAAGTGCAAGCAAGCGGGAAGGGGAGGGGAGGCCGAGCAGGCGAAGGACGGACACCGGCGGCGACTGCTGCTGCGGCTGCGGCTGCTGCTACTGCTGCTTCTGTGGCTGTGGCTGCTGCTCCACACCGTCGTCTGAACCGCCACCTACACCACGACTACCTCCATGAAGCTCCACGCCAGCAACCCAAGAACCAGCCTCCTCAGAACAAGAACCCTCTCCACCATCGGTGCCACTCTCGAGACCGCCGGGACAAGCCACGACAGTAACCCCAGGACTAGCACCCCTAAAACCAAGACCCTCTCCAGCACCTGCGCCACCCACAGAGCCCACAAATGGCTGCTGCGGCTGCGACGGCGGCTGCGGCCGCGACGACGGCAGCCGAGGAGACACCACGCCTGAAACAAGTGGCGAGAACTGCGCCGCGGGGCCACCAGAGTCAGCCGACTCCTCAACCGGGACAACCGAGGGGAGGGGGACGACGTGAGACACAACAGACGGGGTAGGACGGGATGGAGGGGGGGCAGGGGCTACCGGGGGGGTGGGAACCAGAAACAGGGAAGGGGAGACCGGGAGACCGCAGTGGGGAAAGTGGCCAGACTCGTCAAAAGTGACGTCACGCGAGGGAAGGATACGGTGAGACGGTGGGTGGTAAAAGTGCCAATCAGACGAGTCAAGAGGAAAACCAAGAAAGACACAGGGGACAGTGCAGGCAGTGAGCATGTCCGAGCCAGAGGCACGAACGTGAGCGAGACATCCCCTGAAGTGGAATGCAAACTTGCGGCTGCTGGAAGCGCGGCCACAGGTTAAGCTGGTGAACGGCGAACGGCCACAGAAAATGGGGTGCATCGGCATGGATCATGGAGGTATGAGCCACCTCCATGACCAAACCGATGCATCGCTCAGCGACCCCATTCTGCTGCGGGGAGTCCGGTAGGGAGTACGACTGGGTGATGCCCTTCGCACGACAGAACTGTCCAAGCCGAGCGGAGGCGAACTCGCTGCCACGTTCAGAGTGGAGACATAGCACAGGGAGACCGCAGTGGACTCGTGCAGCTACGACCCACGGGATAAGAACATCAGGCACGTCGGCCTTCCACTCCAGGGGGAACCCCGTAGTGTAGCGCGTGTAGTCGTCGACGAGCACGAGAAAGTCGCACTCGCGACGTGGTCCAGGGACGGGGGCGGGGCCCCAAACGTCCTGGTGCAGGGTCTGAAGGGGTGCGGTAGCATGGCGAGGCGACGAGGAGTGAAGAGCACGGCGCAGCTGGCCCTCGACGTAGGGCGTGCACGGCGACGCAGGCGAGGGAGGGAGGGCAGGGAGCGATGCAGGGAGACCTAGGACGAGACCGTGCTGAGACATGTGACGCAGACGGGGGAGCGCGGGGTGACCTAAGCGGTGGTGCCACAGAAGCTATGAGTGAGTAAGCGACCGACACGAGCAAGCCGCAGTGACCCAGGTAGACGAAGGGCCCAGGGAGGACGTGCTAGCCGGGGGGGAAGCAGTGTCCAGCGTAAATAGGCCAGACACCGGGTTCCGGGGGAACGTCGCAATGGGGGGAACCTAATGCGGTCTCGGTACAGACAGCGTACCGCTCATGGCCAGGGAACGTAGTGGTGATGCCAAGGTCCTGGAGACAGCCGACACCAACTATGTTCCTGGAGAACGAAGGGATGTGCAGGCTTGTA